CCCCCCCCCCCCCCCCCCTCGTCTACCAGTCTGATCCTCAATGAGCCCGCGGGAAATTTGGCTCGGATTGTCGTCCGCTTCGCAGTGCAAGCCGTCGTCAAGGGCTGGGATAGCAATGACGACGCCACTCGCATTGCCGATGAGTGTCTTGCAGGCATGTTCCACCCCAACTGGTTCAATCCTCAGCGATGCCACCCCATGCAAGCCGAAATGATGAATTACATGGAGTCTTGGGCCCGCGACAATGCAGCATCCATCAGGAGATTGGATGTGACCAATGTCCGCAATCACACCAACACGCGTTCTGGCAAGGCGGAAGCACACACGCACGGAAGCGGCATCCCAGCTCAATTCCAACCTCAAGGTCAGCAGGGAGTGGAGCAAGGCAGCTCCATGGCTCATGCCGCAACAGGATGGATCGGTGGTCAGTTGCAGCAGCAAGGAGGTTTCTTGGGCCAAGCGGGCAACTTTATTTCCCATCAAGGCGCCTCGGCTGGAAGGCGCGAGGTGGATGGCTATGGCGGGGGCAACGAGCAGCAAGACGATCGTCGTGAGGAGTACAGCTCTCACGGTCGTCGTGAGGAGTACAACTCCCACGGCCGCCAGGAGGATTACGGTAGCCACAACCGCCGCGATGATTACGGCAATCGCCGGGATGACTACGGATCGCACGAGCGACGCGACGACTACGGATCGCACGAGCGCCGCGACGACTATGCTTCACATGGCCGCCGAGACGAGTTTGACGGCGGTGCACCCGGCATCCCTTCCGCGCAGCATCACGAATATGGAAGCTCGGGAGAACTGCGCCCCAGTGGCGGTGGAGGCTACGGTCACCAGCAGGCTTATGGCCAACAAGGGGGCTCGTACGGAGGCTACGCAGCTCCCTCTGGACGTGAGTAATGGCTAGCCCTGCGAGCGATCACTCGTCCTGACACCGAGCATCACACACACAGCACCCCCTGGAGAGTATGGTGGCGGCTTTAGAAGAGACGAAGACGAGTCTCGACAGGGCTACGGTCAGCAGCCGTACGGCCAGCAGGGCCAGGGAGGCGGAGGCTATGGTCAAGGCGGGTACGGCCAGCAAGGTCAAGGAGGATACGGTCAAGGGGGCTACGGTGGAGGCTACTAGGGTGCGCGCCCACGCACGGTGCTCGTGCAGTGCTTTCAAACTGATCCATTTTCAATACATTTGCACCAAATTACATGCCCCACTCCTCACATGCCGTTGGTGTCCCTACGCGCAGGCGTGTTGGTTGCGGAGCTCGTAGAGGTGGCGTTTGCGATCGATGGAGAGGCGACACTAGCAGAGGTGGCGGTAGCGGTCGCGGTCGCAGCGCTACTAGCCGCAACCGGCTGTCCTTGCTCATCGACGTTGGAGAAGCGGTACTCTGCAGCCCACGTGTATGGTTTGGACGCCGAGTAGAGTTGATCGACATTCCAGTCGGGATTGTTGATGGCATCAATGAGGCCTTCCGCTTCGATCACGACGCAAGAGTGATTCTCGTAGATTTCAGCCAGCGTGCCATCGCCTCCGTGGGATCTCTTGCGCGGCAGGCTTCCCTTTGCAGGACTGGATATGCCCGAGCAAGTGTAAATTTGGAATGCTGGTTGGTCCGTCGTGAGGCTCAGCTTGATGCCGCTCCGAGGGCTGTACATCTCCAACTGCGGCTCGTCTCGCGCGGGCTCGTTGCTCTGCCAGAAGCAACTGTCCCATCCAGTGCAGTTTGCCCCGCAGATTCCCGTCGAATTGTCAAAGTTGCGGCGAAAGGGAGTCGGCTGGAGGAAATCGAACGGCGTGCCCGAGACGTCTGGACGTGGACCTGTTGGGATCAAGTCGCTGTCGGTCTGGATGTACTTGTCTGCGTGCGGCATGTGCAGGACGTGGTCGAGGATGGTGCTGTTGGAGCCGTCAGCATAGGCATCCAAGTTCCAGTAAACGTGCGATGAGAGCAGAATGGGCGTCTGGATGTCTTGTGGGGCAGAGACATTGGCGCTCATGGAGATTGCCCACGTAGCATTTGGCTGCAGAGTGTGAATCACGCGGCTGTCAACCTGTCCCGGGAAACTGCAAATGTGGCTTGGTGGTCAGTGGCGCGCCGCGCGGGCGCTCTCCCGACGCTACAGCTTCTCGCACGCTCCTGCACGCACCCTTGAAAGCCGTCAGGGTCGACGTGCGCAAACACAATCGACGTCGCATTGAAGCTTTCGACGACGAACGGCGATCGGTCGTATCCGACATCTCCACCGTGAAGCGAATTCTTGCCGTTTTCATTGCGAGGTACGTAGTAGGTCTGATTGTTGGCGGTGAATGTGCCATTCTTGATGCGGTTCGCGTAGCGTCCAACAGTGGGACCAAAGTTGGGGTGGATTGGGTCGGTAAGGTAGTTGGTGGTGTTGTCAAAGGCTGCCATGAGCCAGCGAGCGAGCGTGCCAGCGAGCGTCAGAGCATGTCATCGCACGCTCGTCACGCGCCACTCACACAAGACGACATCCCTCCAAGCGCCATCTCTATCGCGCACCCACAGTTCGACGAGCGTGGCGCCATACGGGATGAAGCCAGCGCGGATCGAATCGTCTTCGGCCGAGATGCGAACGACGTTGGCAGGGTACTGAGGTGCCTTGCCATCCGGACACGTGCCATAGGTGTACTGTCCAGCCGGCCCGCTGTAGCCGGCATAGGTAGTGTTGGCTACTTGAGCATCCATGACTTGCTGCTGCTGCTGCTGCTGCTGCTGGTCGACCTGACCTACGGCATCGGTCTGATTAGACAGGGCCACTGCGAGGGAGTTGGGATTGCCGCCGGCGCACGGGTAAGATCCGACGGTGTTGTTGTTCACAAAGCCGGCTATACCTGAGGGAGCCGCAGAAGGCACGCTTTGCGCGAGCGAGAGCGAGACCGCTGCTCCGAGCAGTGCTGTCAGTGCGAGCTTCATGACGAATAGGCAATCACGAATGTTGGTGTCTGTGTTGGCGCGGTGCGGTGCGGTGGATGATGGCGAGATCAAGCAGCAGCTGCAACGGCGCCCCTTTATAAGCCCCGCAGTCACCGCGCAGGAACACGCTAAGCGGCAAGAAAGCGTGGAAATGCGGGGTACGGTATGCAGATGGCAATGCATAATAGTCACGCGTAGCAGTCTTCCGCATGGCCGGCCGCGGCCGCATTGTGCGTCACAGTCAGGCACGGCAATCCCGTGGCATCGATCCCTTCCATGAGATTACCGACCTGCGAGGCACTGTGACTCGAGTCCCAGAGATCACTGGCAGAGATCCCCTGCAGAGATCACCGATGCAGAGGAAAGCTTCCCCACACAATCGTACCTGCCGCACGCCACAAACGAGAATACATTCGTGATTGAATTGTCAGAAAGAGCACACTACAAAGTCGGAGAACCTTTCGCAAAGACGATCGTAAAGCTCCTCTTCCGAGTGCCATCGACGGCAAAGGAGACAACATGTGAGGCCATTGCGGCATCGTACGTGATTTGGGCCGCTGGGTCGGAGCAGGCAACGCGCGCAGAGGCAGCAATGGCGGCATGCCTCGGATCGTGCCACAGCTGAAGCGTATGCATTGCTCCGACGTGCTTCACCACTTCCTCCAACGCCCAGCCGTCATGCTTGAGCTCGAGGGTGATCGTGCGAGTGTACTGCGAGCGGAGACTTGGCGGTCAGGTGCAGGTGCAGGTGCATGACTGTACTCGTCGCGCCCCACTCACCTCTCCATTGATCACGCTTGCTGACTGCTCTAAGCGCAAGTGGCGGTACTTGCTCTGAGCGAACCTCCTCGCCAGCTCATCGTGGGCGTACTGCGGAAGCTCCTTGGGCGCACTCGCCACGGACCTCCCATCGTCCAAAAACAGCGAGTGACTTGCGGACCGGCCCGCTCGAAGAGGATAGGCGTGGAGGGTGACCGGGTTGGCATCCAGCTGACCTACCCATTGCTCATTCTTGCGCGTGGGAAAGACGGATCCTTCTCGGACGAAGATGGGTAGCAGGTAGGGCAAGTGACCGACGTCACCGAGAGCATACCGATCTACACTGCTCGTCCACTTCAACACCCTTCCGCCTGCTCGCCTAGCCTTCAAGGCCGTCCATGCGGGAGAAAGTTGTTGCGTGGCGACGTCATCTCCCGTCGAGCGCAGGTGCAGGTTAAAGTCGTACCAGTGCGAGCCGCAAGGCAGATACAGGTCTTCGATGCCTTGCTTGATCTGCGAGGACAGAGCAGTCTCGCTCGTGCTGTAAAGCACAGGGCAAACAAGTAGTGCATGACCAACCATGTACTGTGGTCAGATGGGATGGATCGTAAGCAGCTCGTAGAGGCTCGACTTGCGGTACATGCACTCACCTGCTCGCCCAGGAATTTCTGCCTCTCTCCGAACAAGGCTTCATCCCACGGGTCCGTAGCGCACATGCTCCTCGCGATGGGAAGCCCGTCGAAAAGACTGTTAAAGTGCAAATCGTAGAGCGCCTGTACCAGCGTGTAGCGCAAGTGGATGTAGTACCGACAGATGGGCAGCACCGCTCGGTACAGCGGTGCCTGATCTCCCATCTGCGATGCATGCTCGTAGTACGCGTAGGGCTCTTGGAACAGCTTCGTGCCGGGCTTGCCCATGTAATCTACAAGCAGAGATGGCGAAGAGCCGAGCATCACGTTGAGAAAGCGCAGAGATGGCGGTGAGCAGAGCATCACGTTGAGAAGGCGCAGCGCTGTCCCACTCACGGTTGCGCAGCCATGGCAGCAAGCTAGCTGCAACTGTCCAACGAATGACCAGCTGTGGATCGGCCCACGATCCCGTAAATCCTTCCCTCTCGAATCCACCAGTATCTGCGCCAGTGAAGGTGATGCCGCCGATACCAGCACTCAAGACTTGCTGTATCATGATACGAAGAAAGTTCCAGGTACCTGCGAAAAACGTCACGTGTAAGCGAGTCAAGGCACGCACACGATGTTTCTTTCTCTCTCGCGCGCGCTCACTGGCATTGTCGCCGGTCCACAAAGCGGCAAAGCGATGCATGCCGGTGAAACTGCCTCTGCCGATGATGAATGGTCTCTCGTCCGGTCTCAACCTTTGCAAGCCTTTGTAGGTCGCCTTGTGCAGATTGAAGCTGTAGCTATTCCACACCTTCAGAGCGGGTTGCAGGTGACCGCGCTTGGACTGACGTGCAGAAGAGTCGTCCGAGAGCAGGAGCCGAAATGGAAAGCTATGCAGATGGCCGAGATGCAGCAATGAGCTCTCCTGCTCCTCTTTCCCCTAATGCCCCCCCGCCTCACTCACCCCTTCATGTCTCCACTTTCCACTCGAACTGCCGGCGTAGTCATGTCTTGCCTGAGGGGCGCTCCATCATCAGGACGAGGACAAGTACATCGAAGCACACTCGCGTACCCACCAGACAAAGGACAGGCCAGCCTCGATGAGTTCCTTGTACTGCGCGCCCCACCAATCCCGGACTTCCTTCCTCCCCAAGTCGGGATAGACGCCATTCGTGCCCAGATCCTTGCCATACGACACGCCCCCTCTGTACTCGGTGTCCGTCTGCCAGTTCTCAATGTACTGCGCTCGAGTGCGCCTCTCGTTGCCCCCTTCCCAACAAATGTATTCTGGCGTTCTATCGTCGCCCGCATTGTACCGCCTCTCCTTGACAAACACGCCCTTCTTGAGGCCGTCGTCGAGCGTGGCATACTGGGAGCGCGCAGCACTGCCTTCTTGCCAATAGTCCCGCTTCGCGTCGTCCGTGCTGGAGATGACGGGTGTAATGTTGGTGCTGCACTTGACGCCCATGTTTTGAAGCTGCTGGAACATGCCTTTTGGGTCTTGGAAACGACCTCCTTGCCCCTGATCCATGGTAAAGGTGCGATACTTGCGCTGCAGATCCACATCGATGTGCAGACCATCGAGGGGAATATTGTACTGCCGATGCTTCATCGCCGCATTGATGACCTTTTCGCGCGTATCGTAGCCGTAGCATCCTTGGTGATAGCCTAGCACATACTTTGGCCACAGCCTGCCACGACCAGTGCAGCTGGCGTGGGCATGACTCACGCTCGCTACATCGTCTGCACAGGTGATGTGCAGTTCTAGGTCGCCAAATCGCGAGCCGATCTGATAAGCATTGCAGTGCTGACCGACGTCGATGAATGTCTGACAATAATCGTCGACAAAGTACCCCACGCTGGAGGCATAACCTGGAATGGCAGCCACTTCGACCCAAAATGGTTCAGAGTGGTACATTGGCTCGCTAGCTCGGAGCGCCTGCTGTCCATAGACTCCAGAGTAACCTGGACGGACAGGGAGTGAGCGCTGGCGGTGTTGCAAGTCTTCCACTTTCTCGCGCCCACTCACCCATATTGTCGTAATTAAAGTAGGTCAAGAGCTGCTCATCCTTGAACAATCCCAGACCACCTTGTTCGCCAAAGCCTAGCGCCTTGCCACGTTTCCTCGCCGCCAACAAGGTGGCAAAGTTGCCCTCCGCGTCTTGCTTGCAGCGCAGAGCCGAGACCGCCGAGTCTTGCGTAGCGGTGCTGAATACGCGGGCAAATTTCGTGTGGGGCGGATTGGAAGCGTCGGAATCTGCGAGATGGCGTGTGTGTGTGAGAGAGAGAGAGAGAGAGAGAGGCGAAGCCGGTTTCTCGTAGCACTTGCTCTCACCGGGCATTCTGATCTCCTTGACGTGTCGCCAAGCTTCCACTCGAAAATGTGCCTGATATACGCGGATCTGCAGCGTCTCTTGTCCGTTTGCGCGGATGCTCCACTCGACGTGAGCGTCGTCTGCTACGCTGTTGTCATTGTATATGCTTGTGCTGGTCGAGTCGTGCGTGAGAGCGGCAGACAGAGCGACACGTTCATCTTGCGCAAGTCGCCTCCTCAACTCGCCCAGCTCGTTGGTGCAGAGCGAGGGGCTAAGATACGAGCTAAACTCTTTGGCGCTGCTCTTGCCAGGACCCCATCTCAGTCTAAAGGTATCGAAGCGCAGCACCTCCACCAACACTATTCCGCCATCCTCGCCCAGCTCTACGACGAGGCTGAGCTGGTCATCCTGCTTTGCTTTGATGCTCTTGACGGGTGCAGCACAGGCGTCCCTCGGTCTAAAGGCATCCTCCTGCCTCGCTGCATTCAGAGCATCGTCATCGAACCACGCCATGAAATCCTCGGCCTTGTAGAATTTGTAAATATCCTCATCCGAGCCATGCGGCACGCTCATCGGCGCGATGCGCCGATCGGGCAGCACGACGACGGGAGACTTGACGCTTGAAGGGGAAGCAGCTACACTGGCAGGGGATCGCGCACTTGTGGGCGACCGGCCATCCTTTGTCTTGCTAGACGCCTTGGAAGCAGTGAAGGTACCTTTGCTCGTGTCTAGAGCTGTGGGCGCCATCTTGAGTCGCGCCTGGCACCTTGGCACCTGGCACCAGAGGAGGAGAACTTGCGATTTGTTTGGAGATGCGATGCGGGCACTCGCTCGTGACTGCGATTGCAATGTGAATGTGAATGCTCACAATGAGCCTTCTTATAGCTTTTGCATGTCAACCCGTCAGCGAGCGTCAATTCGGGACGGGGGGGCATGGGCACGCATTGCAGCGCATGGAATGCACCGAATGGCCATCTCTTTCGCACCGAACGAGCAAGCGGCAAGCATTCGTGATTGTCATTGCTGCTTCCATGCCGCAGAATCGTGAATCGGGAGATGCCCTCATGTCAGACTCGTGACTGTCACTGTCACTCAGCATCGAGTCACGCTGTGGCGCACTGTACATCGTGGCTTGACGAGTCCGTGAGCGAAGGCTCGATAGATCGCAGATGGCCGAGCAAGCGCACACGCACACGCAATGCAGCAAGCAGCCAGCGCACGACGGCAAGACGCGAGCAATCAACAAACGGAAAAAGAATCACACTTCACATTGACGCATAGCCCCGCCGCTGCATTGGGACGGCGCTGCTATTATGCTCCGGCCGGGTCCGACGAGCGTGAGCGGCGTATACTGTACGTGCAAGGTTCACATCAGAGCATGCACAGTCAGTCAGTCAGTCAGTCAGGACAGCATCAGCCAGCCAGCCAGCAGCACGCGCAAGGGCTGCAGCAGCCCCGCTATGCAGCAGCGGCTGCCGAGCAAGCGCGGAACGGCTAGAGTCGGCCAATGGTCGGACCGACGCGGTTTCCATTCATGCGGGAAAGGCCATCCCCAGTCAAGCGTGACGATGAGCGACGGCGATGGGAGTGATCAGCCACGTAGCGCGTGCAATCCATTGCGAATCAGCCCCGATGTCCATACGTCACGGAGCGAGAGCCGAGACAATCACGTGAATCGTCTGAATTACAAGTCAAGAGTGTACAGGACCACGCGCCTGTGCCGGCGCCGCGTGGCGCATCACTGCTTGTCGAAATCTGTTTCGCAGGCAAGAAAGTCCAAGGCGCGCGTCCTAACTAAGCCTCCGCATTCTGCCAACATTCACATTCACGTGATTCCACACTCACCCTCATTGAAAGTCCTGCCAATCAGCATCCTCCTAATCTCTTGCGTTCCAGCGCCAACAGTGTAGAGCCTAGCATCCCTCAGAAGACGTGCAGCGGGATAATCGTTGATGTACCCATTGCCTCCCAGCGCTTGCATCGCCTGTCCAACGTGACGCAAGCGCACACGCGCGCGGATCAGCATAAGAGAGCAAGAGTCTACCCCTGCGCAACCCATTCTCCCCCACACAGACCCTCACCTCCATCGTCACGTCCACCGCCTTTTCGCTGGAATACAGAATGGCAGTCGCACAGTCCCGGCGCGACACTTGACCCGCATCGCAAGCTCTTCCTACAGCGTACACCAGCGCTCGAGCTGATGCCAAGCCCGTGTACATGTCTAGCAAAGCGAGAGGCGATGGTCATCAGCAAGCCGCCGCCAGTCCCCTTGCTCGCCTTGCCTACTCACCTGCCAGCTTTCCCCTCATCAGATCGAATTCGGCTACCCGCTTGCCAAACTGCTTCCTCTGATGCGTGTACTCCAGCGCAAAGTCGATGGCGCTCTGCATCAGGCCCAGCGGTCCGCCTGACAGCACCAGCCTTTCCAAATCCAGTCCAGACATGAGCACCTTGACACCTCCATCCACTTGACCCAACACGTTGGCGCTCGGCACCAGAACATCTTCAAACGTCAATTCGCACGTCTCTGATCCGCGCATTCCCACCTTGTCCAGCTTTGGGGATGTGGTGAAGCCGGGCGTGGAGCGATCCCTGTTGAGCGAACAGAGTGAGTGAGCATAGAATCATCGAAGCAACGCTTGCCCGCCACGTACACGATGAACGCAGTGATGCCCTTTGGCCCAGCTTCGGGCCTCGTCTTTGCATAAATCACAAAGGTGCTCGAGATCGGGCCGTTGGTGATCCTTTGCAGCGCGAGCGACCCTGCCGTGCCGTCAGCTCTAAAGTCGCTAGTCGCTAGTGCAGTCAGAAACACGCCACCGCCCCAGCTCACCAAGCCTTGCCGCCATTGAGGATCCAATCTCCATCCTTGTTCTTGTCAGCCTTGGTCCTCATGCTGACCACATCGCTGCCACTCTCTGGCTCGCTCATGGCTAGCGATCCGACCTTGTTGCCGCTGATCAGATCTGGCAGATACTTTTCCTTTTGCTCTTCGGTTCCGTGTCGGTGTATCTGATTGATGCAGAGGTTAGAGTGCGCTCCGTACGCCAATCCAACCGATCCTGATGCTCTCGAAATCTCTGGCAGGAGGGGGGCGCGCATACATGCGATCAGATTGGGGGGCAGCCAGCCGATTGCGCGCGCACAAGGTACTGCATGTCCCCAACTCTCGCACAACTGCTCACCCTCCATGACGACGGTGTGATCGAGGTAGCCCAACCCCAGACCTCCCCACCTCTCCTCGCAAGTGACGCCATTCAAGCCCATCTCTCCAAACCTCTTCCACACATCCAGCTCTTTCGGCACCACATTCTCCGCATCTATGCGACCAGCCAATGGTGCGATCTCTTTTTGCGCAAAGGTGGACACGGCACTGCGAAGCTCTTCTTGTTCGGGCGTCAAGCCAGACAGAGGGGCAGAGTAAGATGTGTACGTTCGTCGAGTGCCGGTGGCTCTTGCTCGCTGCGATGCTTGGCTGGCCAGACGAGGCAGAGCGCGGATAGCAGATTGAACACGCATGATGTGCGAGAGCGAGTGTTTGAGTGACGACAGTGAGAGCGGTGATGGTGATGGTGATGGGCGTTGAAGGAGGTGGGGTGCTCACTCATCACTTCTGCGCTGCTTCGTGGTGTATGCGCGGGGCGTCGGGCGGGGGGTCCCCTCAGCTGCGCGGTGGGTACAGTACAACCTTGCTTGGCACGCGCGGCACGCGCTTGACACCTCGCGCTCATGCTCAATCAGTGAGTGCAGCCCACGCAGCTGCAGCAGCAGCTGCGCGGGGTCGCTCAAGCATGGCGCGGCATCCGCGGCTGTTTGTCCGTTTCGCGCGCGCGCATCAAGCCTCCGTCACCGAGCGGAGGACGTCCACAGGGTGCGCAACAGCTAGAAAGGCGTGCGCGCGTACACGCACGTCCGCTCGACTTTCTCTCCACGTCCCAAATCACAAAAAAAGTCTCTGCGGCAAATATCGGAAATTCTGCAGAATGGAACATTTCCATCGGCTCAACCAAGCCCGCGGGCGGCGACATCAGAGCCTCCTGGCATGTCGTGAGTGCGCACCGCACCCCGCGCCAACGATGATGAATCGAGAGAGAGGCATGTCATGTCCGACGGTCACTCTTGCTCCCTAGCCATCGCTTCTCGCCACTCGAGATGCTCTACAGGCAAGAATCCCATCCTCTGCACATCCCTCCACCTCTCTCTTCCCTCTGTACGTCCTTCGTCCAGCTCCTTTGCGTACTCGCCCTTGCGCAGGCGACGAAGCGTAAAGCGTTCAAAGGGCGCCTCAAAGCTTAGACGCCAGACGGGCAGAGCGTCCCTATTCTTGGTCCTACTGTCCGACTCGATGCTCTTCCGAATCCACGCCAGAGCGTCGTAAGCAAACGAGGTGCAAAGGTGCGGGTCCCAAGCATGTGGCTGCAAGCGAGCGTGGGATACAGGATGCATCAACTGTACATCCGTGCTGCGCATCCCCCGCATCGACCTACCTTTCCTCGCACCAACTGAGGCATGTTGGCCGTCAGGAATTGCTGATGGCTCTGTTTGGGAGAGCGCAGCCTCAGCTTGACCTGCCATTGCGGCTCCCTGGAGCGACTCACGACAAGCCTGCCTCTACTGTCCCTGAATCCCACCACCACATGGTCCACACCAAGCAAAAAAGCTTGCATGTCTGCAGTGCCACACCCATTTTCAGCTTGCGTACTCTCTCTCGCACGCAATCTCCCAAGCGCCTCACAAATCCTAAGCATCTTCTTTTCGAACTTGATCGCATCACCCTCGTGTCTGATCTGCATGTTCGTCTTGAGCTCCATCGCCCTTCTATCCCTACGCGCCCTCGCACGAGCTTCCTCTCGACCCGGCTCAATCAGACAGTCCGTCTCTCCTCCCAGAAGGACCCTCGTGCTGCCTCCATTGCCCTTCGTGTCCATGCCCGTCTTCATCACCTCGCACCACTGCTCGTTGGTGTTGACATTTCCTGACCAGGCCGTTGGTGCGCCGATTTCGGGTAGTGTGCGCGCGTTCGGCCAGACGCAGTACGACTCGAATGCGTAGCCTAAAGGAGGCGGATGCGATGTGTCAGTGAGGGAGCTTACTGACAAGTGATCCTCGTATCGAGCGCATCACCATAGTAACTGAACAGCCTGCGCCGTTCATCCGTCTGCTCTGCTCGCTGAGCATCGTACCTCGCTTTCGAGACGTGCTCATCGATGTACATCGTCTTGTCCACCTGCAAGTGTGCGTGTATGCGCAGCTCGTCAGCCTATGCGCGATGCGGACTGCGCGCAATTGACTCGCAAGCATCACATCCATCTCCCAAGCGCTGGGAAAAGCAGAGGCAGCTTCGTAGGGAGCGGTACATAGTTTCGTCATCATTCCTCTCCACGTGATCAGGCTTGGCGTGCCATCGGTCAGCGTGCGGTGGATGTCCGATGCTGCTCCGCTCGAGGCTGCATGTCGATCAGCTGGACAGGCGGACTGCAGCGACGTCAAGAGGGTATCGAGATGTTCAATCTGCCAGCCGTTGGGAGCTTTCTGATGTCAGCGTCTGACGCTGACTAAAGGCGCATCCTGGCAGCACCGCCTGCCCGCCCGGCACTCACCCACTCACCTTTGGCTCCCTCCACTTTGCCTTGCTGAAACCATACCCCAAATCCACGCCTGCAGGCGGATCCTTGAAATACTTTTGGGCGCTGTCATTTAGCAACAGCTTCCTCTCTCCATCGAACGAGTAAGAGGTCAGCCTCTGAGGAGCTCTCAAGTACACGCGACTGTATGCGGGAGCTTGACCCTGCCCTGCTGGACGTGGCACGGACAAGTTGAAGAGGTAGGAAGGGGAGGGAGAGCGCGCCTTGGCGCTTGGCTGCTCGGGCCGGCTCGAGGGACCGGCAGTTGCAGTTGCAGTTGCAGGTGCAGGAGATGCGTCTGCTCCAGCGCTTGGCTCGGCACGAGAACGTTTGTGAGTGTCGCTTGCTTCCACCTGCAGCCGATCATCTGGCCCACCGCGCTTCATGGTGGAGGAGGACAAAGTGATTGCGGGGCCAAAGGGCGAGCGGGCGTCGGCGAGAAGGATGCGAGTGTCGAGCGCGTGGGGTTTGAAAAAGGCACGAGGTGCTGACGAGGCTCGCAAGCTCAGCAAATCCGGAAAGTGATGGTTGAGGAGGGCCAGGTGGGAGGTGGGAGAAGTTGGAAGGAGTGAGTGACGGATGAGGAGCAGAGCATGCGGGCGTACAGCGCGAGGGAAGGAGTGGCGCGTCAATCGTGAATCAAAATCGCATCGCGTGAATCACGAATAGGAATCACGAATGTTGAATGTGAATCACGTGAATGGTGCAGCAGCAGCAAGCGGCATGCACACACCAAAGTCCCCGTCGGGACGCGCACACAGCCCCAGGCGCGCAAGAGTCACAATCACGCGAATGCTTCGACTTTGGAGGAGGTTGAAGCTGCTGCTTCTGCTATGAAGCTGAAGCTGAAGCTAGCACGCAGGCACGCACGCAGGCACGCACGCAGACTGTGCATTCACATTCCTGATGGCTCATCCATGCGTTACGAAGCCGGGTGCGCCTGCCTGCCTCAATAGCTGTATCTACTCTTCGCTCTAAGTTGAGGTCCATACTTTGCAAAGATAAAGGGAATGGGGACCATGAGCACATTGAGTCCGGCCAAAAGGGCAGTGGCGCCAGCATTGCCTAGACGAGTGTACATTTGCGTCGCAAAGAGCGGAAAGACGCAAGCGAAGAGACTGCGCGAGATGGAGTTGGCCCCCAATGCAGAGGCTGCCACTGGTCTCCAGACGTCGGCCGTGTAGGAGAAGACGGCAGAATACTTTTGGCAGGCAGGCAGGCAGGGATGGGGGGGTGGGGGTTTGGCGGGTGCGCAAGGCGTTTGAGTGATCGCTGCATCGTCAGGCTCTTGCGCGCGCATGCACCACACTCGTGACTCACGGTGAAGAGGATGCCTGCGCCAAACGGTATGGAAGCGACGATGGGGATGCTCCAGTGTACTGCGGGATACGTCGTAAAGGCGAACCAGAAGAGCGAGATGCTGACGTGGAGCGTTGCGGTGTGTCACTACTGTGTGCTGCTCCAGCGTCAGCAGTCCACGCTTGCTCCAAGGCCAACTCACGGATTGAGGATGGCGGCGACCATGGCCATCGGTAGTCGAGCTTCAGGCGGCGCTTGCCCTCCATTCTCTGCCATGGCCCGTCGGTAGCGTCTGGCCCAGTAGGGCATGGTGAAGGCGCCCAGAAGCAGGCCGACTGCCAGTCCGAGAAAAGACAGGCCGGTCTGCCACAGATTGAATCCGTGCGCTCCAAAGACGATTGGGACTGCAAGATTCAGGCGCATCTTGCAAGGGAGTGAGCGGACCATGTCGAACCCTATGCTCACGCTGCCCGCGCGCGCAACTCACAAGCTTCAAAGAAGAGGTACAAAATGCCGAGCAGGAGCGCTGTCCAGAGACACAGCAGCGCGAGCATCGGTTCCAGGATCAACAACTGAATCACCTTTGTGCTGTTCGCCCTCAGCGTTCCTCCGATGCTCTTTTCCCTCAACTTCAACTCGTGCGCAGAGCAAAGATTGGGGTTTCCCGTGCTTCGACGAAGATGTTTGGCCTTTGTGGTGAGGATGGCCGGATGAAAGGTCTCGGAAACGAAGAGGAGGAGCGCGATCCACATGATGAACGACCAAATGTTGATCGTCCAAAATGTCCAACGCCAGGTGGAGAAATACGTGGCAAAGCCGGCGTACAGAGGTCCAAGAATTGGTCCTGCAGGTGGGAACATCTGGTGAGCATCTGCGTCCATCTGTTCACGGGTGCGGTGTAGCGCGCCAGCGCCACTCACCCAGAAATGGGCTCATCGTGTATGCAGCCATGGGCAGCGCCATATCCTTTGGCAAGAACAGATCGGCAACGGTGCCGCCGGCGACGCTAAGGAAAGCGCTTCCAAAGACGCCCGTCAAGAATCGAAAGATGAAAAACACTGCCGGGTTGTTTGCAAAGGATACTGGCAAGCCAAGCAAGACGAACAGACCAAACGAGGAGAGGTAGACTGGACGCCTGCCGTAGAATTCCGACAGCGGAGCCAGTGCCAAGGGTCCGATGCCGAGGCCCAGCACGAACAACGACAAGCCCAGGATGGCCACCTCGTGCCCGATTCGAAAGTCGCTCTCGAGAGACTCAAAGGTGCTTGACTGTGGCGTGGGGGTGGGGAGGGCAGCGCCTTTATAAGAAGAGCGGTACTTGATCGCAGCCTATGCTAGCGCGACTCACCACTACGCTGGAGGTGCAAGTGACGCAGAGACTGCATGTGGATACGATCATCAAGATGGTCCACCGTTTGGCCGTCGACCATGCAAGCGGATTGCGTGAATCTGCATCGACGTCCCACGAGACGAGATTGGCATCCTTCTCCTCGGCCGCTCCCTTTTCCCCCTCGATGGCGGTGGCGCCACGCTGGACATCGTGTCTCGTCGAAGCAGCACTCTGACTGTTCGGCGAAGATGTCGAACGGCTAATTTGCTGCGCAGCTTCCGCACGCTCGCTAGACTCTGTCATGATGAGCTGTCTGCGTGTTTGGGATGGGAGGGAGGAGGAGTGAGGTGGTGAGGAGTCACATCAACGTGCCATGTTCCAGCGATAGCGATAGCGCTAACCCTCTTGAATGCCCACACGGACTTGAGCTTGGCTCATTGTGATTGAGTGCGCAGAGGAGTCAAGCACCTCCTCGCATCCTTTGACTGCAGCCAGCTCCCAGCAGCAAATTTGTACGCCAAGACGAGACTGAGCACACTCCTCATCATCCCCACCACCACCCTCACCACCACCACCACCACCACCACAACCACCACACTTAGCTCATAAGCAAATCTCATGCACTCGACTTTGGGCGGCGGGCAAATCAAGGCGGAAAGGCAGTCACAGTCTGTCTGGGCAGAATGCGCAAATCCTGCGCGTGCCGCGTGAAATCTGAAATGAAGCCCGCGCGCGCGCGCGCAACGCACGCACGCATAGCAAAAGGAGCGGTTTTGCCGAGACTCGGCATCACGCACGCGCCTGCTTTGCACGTGACTCACGACTCACGACTCACGACATGCATGAGCTGTGGATATCACACCGAGACTCAAACTCCCAACTCTCGTGGTAAGCGTGCGGCATGGGTGTGTATGGACAGTCAAGTCAAGAAACACGACCATCGAGCACCACGTAACATTCAAGATGGCCAATCGCGGATTGTGACAGGAACAGCCACGCATTCATATCACCATCCCTCACACTTCGACGCTTTGCTGATGATTGATTGCACGGTGCACGGTGCGCGGTGCACGGTTTGTGTGCGTCTCGCTCCTGACTCCCCCCAAGACCATGCGCGCGCGCGCGGTCCGGGCATCGCATCCATTCATTGCCAACACTCGTGACTCGTGACTCGGTGGATTGGGTCTCGCAGTCGGTCGTTCATGACATGCGGATTGTGTAAACGCAATGGATTGGGCGCATTGCAATCGCACCCCAGTCAGCAATCAGCAACAGTCGAGAGTTGTGTGGGCGTGCGACAAAGCACAAAGCACGAACTCGTAGAGATGTCATTGTGGCGTGGCACGACTTTGTCGGCGCTGAAACTGCTTTTGCGCATTGTCGCTTCGCCACGCGGCATTGATTCACTTTGCCGCTCATGGTGATGGAGTGTGGCGTTGGACTGCATCAATGGCTGGCTGGCTGGCTGGCTGGCTGACATTTTCGTGATTGTCATTGAGCTTGAGCTTGTTCTGCATGGTGCGGCATGGGCGACGCGGACGCGGACGCGGCCGAGGTCCTATCAGTGCCATTGTAGGAGGTATGCCGCTCACCACAAAGGTCCACGGTGAGATAACAGTCCCTTGGCAGCAATATTCACGAGTGTATTGCCCAACTTGCCCTGTCTGGGACGTGTCAGCCGATGAGAGGTGGCGACTGTGAGGCATTTCGAGCTGTAGGCCTCGCAGCACGCGCATTCAAAGCTAGCTTCGAACAGCATGCCCTTCTCTTCACCCTCTCCAGGCATCCTCCTCAACACCTTCAGCTCGTCAAGAAGTGTTGTTCCGACATGCACTCGCTCAAGTTGGCTCTCGTATGCGCGCTGCTAGGCGCTTGTCATGCGTTTCCGCCAGAATCTTCTCGCGTGCTCGTTCGAAGAGGTCGATGGCCAGCTTTCTCGAGCAAGGTGAGTCGAGTCCCGCTGCTCAACACTCGTTTCGTGCGCGGCCCCCCACTCACCACCCCCACCCTTTCCTCGCAGGCCGGTGCAGAGGCAGCGATGGAAATTTTCCGTCCGCCATCTCCTACCACAGAGGGAGCATCTTCTGCGCATCCTTTCAACAATCCAGACCCGAGGGTGGAGCACAGCCGCGGAACGATCATCCCTCCTCCCTCTTCGGCGCAGCAAGATGGTCTGAGGGAGATCCCCGGAGCAAGCTTGATGCGCAGTCCATCGGGTCATCACCAGCAAGTCGTCATACACGAAGGAGCGCAGTGGAAGCACGTGTCGAGTCGAGAAGGTGCTGGTGCCCACCTGCAGCGCTTGGCATTCGACCGACCGATCCGCATCGAAGTTCAAGCGAATACCCGCATCTACACTCCAGCAGACCTGCAGACGGGTCGAAACACTGGTAGTCTCCTCGTTCCCAACGACTACGACACGCCTTCGTCCACTTCCAGCGGGCTGGTCAGGGGAGCAAAGTACGACCCGCAGCTGCACCCGATGCACGCTCACGGAAATGCTGTGCGGCCCACGGCTGCAGAGCGAGCACATTTGAACTCCCACGTCATGTCCTCGCCTTTCGATCGCACCGAGCTGGGTGGTCCATCGTGAAGGATACCAGAGGCCTGCGTGCGTCAGGTCTCGCGTCGTCGTGCCGCTGGCTACGCCACTGTTGACAAGGCTCAGCTCGATCAGGCGAGCTCTTTGCACTCAACGAATGATGATGATGACGAAATGTTAATTGAGCTAGTCGGACGTGGGCAGTGCGAGTCATCACAGCAGGTAAAACGATGTCGTGCAGCGATGAAACGCCTCGTAGAAGCGGCGCGTTTCGGTGAGCTGCTCGATCAGTTGGGAGTGATGTACCAATGCATGCCCTGGAGTCCGCCACTCTCCGAGCCAGTAAGCTCCTTGAAGATTTGCTTCGACACGAGGATGATATCTGCGCGTGGGCGAGCAGAACGGTCAGCAAAGCAAAAGAGCTCGATCGCGGCGGCGGCGGCGCATACTCACTGTCAGACTGAGTTGCGTCCTTCACGACGTACTTGTAGTCCGTGTTCTTGTACCTGAACTGTGATGCAAAGAAGAGACGGATGTCAGTTAATGTACATGCACTGTTCAAGCGCGCCACGACTCACGTTCAGGAACCATCCACACCTGCTGTCGGCAGTGTACGGCTTCAGGATGCTCGAAGGGATGCTAGCGATTTCGGCCGTGTCCGACACGTATTCCTCGCTGAGAGTACGAAAAAAAGAGGCATTGGTCAAGATGTGTTCGGAGCAACTTTGTCATTCATTCTCTGCAACGATGCTCACCAAGCTCCTTTGACGTTTCCACTGCCATAGCTGGCAGGGAAGAGCGTACCACTGTAGCCGGCGTAGCTTGGAGATGATGACGACGACGACGACGAATGCTTGTTGGTGTCGACTTTGGTCTCGGGGTCGTCCTGCCACACCGCATCATTGATATCGTCGTCCAAGGTCTCGTCCTCGTTGACCGTCGGAGCAGCCAGAGCGCTCGCCGCAAGGAGGACGGCGAGCAGAGGGAACACTTTTGAAGCGCGCATGTCTGCAAGAGATGAACTGCTTTGGGGATTGGGTTGAGGATGAAGGGCGAGTGAGGTGAGAAGAGGAGGAATCGGGTGGAAAGGCGAGAGAAGGAGGAGTGAGGGTTGAGGAAAGAAGCGGGATTTGACAAGCACCAAGGCTCCTTTTAATCCTTTTTCTGGCTCCCATACTGCGCAGCAGCTCGTCTCTTCTTGATGCCCACCACCGGTATACGCAAGTCTGCTTGTTGTGCGATGTGCAGGACCATAGTCAACGTCTGCGCCGTCTGCTGTACTCGAGACGCGCAAAAGGACCGTCTCATTCGGCCGCCACAAGCGGTCGCAATGACAACGGCTGCAGAGATCCGACTGGAGGATTGGGCCACTTTAGCGACCGGCGCTCCGGCGACTCGTGGATAGGCGACCTTGATGGGCCAATCAAGTCGGATCATACACACCGCACAAAGTGAGACGAATTGGGTGGCGCCATTTGCGCAGACGCAAGATGAGATGGCCAGGGACAGACGTTTGCGTGCGACCTTGAAGGCTTGGGTATTGCCCGTGCCAAGCATACGTCCGGATCTGAGAGGCCAAAGTGGCGTTTCTTCCCATCGCAAATGGCATGTGTGGGTTTGATTGCGTCACTGAAGCTTGTGCACGAATGAAAGCGTTTCGACTGGGGTCCGTCCGCTGCTCAAGTATCGCTGCCGAGAGCGTTAGGAAAAGGCTCGAAGCTGGGTCTCCTTGACGACTTGCGCGCGCGCTCTTGCATGGGCTGCTCCCAAGCACGCGTCTGCTCGAGTTTGTGTGATACTATTTGCGAGCTCACGTCTACAGACTTTGGGCGTCTCATATGCGATTTTGTGAGAATACCGGTGGGCCCCGGGGTGATGCGCGCGGACGCTTGTGTTCATCGCTTGCGCAATGTGGATGCGATTCGACGCGTGTAACCCTGGCGCCCATCGGGGCCAAGGTTGAAAGCAGGGGCAATCGAGTGCAAAAGGTCTGCTCACCCCTGCTGACAGCTCTGAAGGACCCAAAGTCTAAACGTCTCTCGTCGAGCTTCATGACCGTCATCCTGCACGAAAGCTTTCGATAGGATGTCTACTCGTGACACGCACCCGACCCTCATCTTTGCTGCCATGTGCGGTGTAACTTTGGCCGCTCCCATCACTGGTGCAGGTGAGCCGGGCAAGGCAAACAAAGAAAGCAAAGCGGTCAAGCTGAGCTGACGTTACCGTAGGACATTCCAGACACTGCCCTTCGCAGAGGCGAGAAGATACGCGGAAAAGACAAGATTTCCGAAAAAGAGGCCAAGGTGAATGCTCCCAAGACGCCTAAGAAGCGAGCGAGCACAGCATAGGACGGGCATCGCTTCAACAGATAGCGAAGGGGGGCTATACATATGCAACATCTCGTGCGCGCTCGGCTTTCAGAGTCGGCGAGCTCATCGTGAGTCGGCTCCATGAATCTAATTCGAGGTCGCGGTAGTGATGCCGCTTCCTTCCGGCGCACTTCATCTTCATCGATCCTTTCATCGACAGCTGGCCATGCAGGCGCTCATGAGCTTTTGAAACTTGCCTTGATGCCTTGATGCTTCGCCTTTCGCCTTCCCTGCCGGCCATGTGGGTTGTCGTGATAAGCAAGCAAGCAAAGTCACGAGTCAATAGACATCCGACATCCAACCAGCGCGCCCTACCGCAGCGCTTTATCAAGCTTGAAGAATTATTCAAATCTTTGGTCGCAGCAATCCACCCATGCTATGCGCTACAGCAGCTACGCCAACTCAACACCATCCTCGATTGTGATGTCACGTGATGGACTCCCCCAGCCTTGAGTATATTTTGCATGGAGCACGTCATATCGGCGCATATATTATGCACCGCGGTGTATAGCAACCCGACGCGCGCGCGCGCACACGGTTTAGCTCATGCTGACAGCGCGCGCGGCGGGAGCAAGAACGCTAGCGCGCACGTCATCTTTAAGACTTGCTCAACTGTGACCTGCGATAGGAGGGATGATGTGTTGCTCGCTTGCTCGTCTCGTCCCGTCTCGTCCCGTCCCGTCTCGTCTCGCCTCACGCTCGATCAGCGCTCAGCAATAGCAGCGCAAGCTTTGATTGGAGAGTCAAAAGTCACAGCTGATGACTTGGAGGAACGCCCAGCAGCATGAAGCTGCTGCTTAATTGTTCCTGCAGAGAGGCGCCGGCTGATGCGATGGGGAGCTGCTGGTGTCACAGTCGTTGGACGCTGCTGCGTGATGGATGCCCTGCCTTTTGTTGGATGGGCCGGGGGAAGGGCGTTGGGATTGAACGCATATGCTTGCACTAGCTGTATACGCTGTCGATACTCGTGACTGTACCCGCGGCCTGACTCTTTGGGCGGAGGAGAGCTGCGGTCAGAAGAGGTCGCGCATTTCGGTCAGGTCGTGATGAGGCAGACTTGCAAATTTCCTTGCTCTTCTCACTCCCACTCCTCACATGAGCCTCTGTCGCTTGCTCTTCCGCTGGCTTGCGATTCTCTTCTCTTTTTCTCAATAAGCCCCTGGCGGCACAGCGCGCCGCGCGGTGAACACATAAAAAGGGCCAAGCTCGTTCGTGATTTGCTCCCCCAGAACGTCGCTTCTCTTTCCTACTCGCATCCCCAACACACACACACTCACAGCTTACGCGCCCATACGCACACACGATGACTGACGCCCACGCCCACGCCCACGCCCACGCCTCGAGTCACCACCTCGAGCACGACGTGGTCACACCCGGCGAGGCTGATGCCGATGAAAAGGTAAAGGGCTTGGATGGAGATGTTCGGGTGTCGGACTCGAACGTCTTGACGGATGACGCTGCCTTGCCAGCAGGCACGTTGGACCCGGTCTACGAAGCCAAGGCTCGAGTGCTGAACAGGGCCATCCAAGAGATTGGCATGGGCAGGTATCAGTGGCAATTGTTTGTCGTCGTAGGCTTCGGATGGGCCAGCGATAACCTGTGGCCCATCGTTACTTCCCTCATCTTTACTCCCATCTCCAACGAATTCAATCCCGATAGACCTCCGCTGCTCACCCTGGCCCAGAACATTGGTCTGCTGGTAGGCGCAGTGTTTTGGGGCTTTGGAGCAGACATCTTTGGCAGGAGATGGGCATTCAATCTCACCATCGGCATCACTGGTCTCTTTGGAATGATTGCAGGCTCTGCGCCCAACTTTGCCGCCATTGGCGTCTTTGCAGCGCTTTGGTCCGTCGGCGTGGGCGGCAATCTGCCAGTGGACTCTGCCATCTTTTTGGAATTCCTGCCGGCCACGCATCAGTACCTGCTGACCATCCTATCCGTCGATTGGGCCCTCGCTCAGCTTCTCGCCAATCTCATCGCTTGGCCCCTGCTAGGCAACCTGACCTGCCCACAGACCGCAGCAGTGTGTGCGCGTCAAGACAATATGGGTTGGCGCTACTTTATCATCACCATGGGAGGTATTGCCGTCCTCATGTTCGTCATACGATTCGTCTTTTTCACCATCTACGAGTCGCCCAAATACCTCATGAGCCGGGGCAGAGATGCAGAGGCCGTTCGCGTGGTCCATGAAGTGGCCAGACGAAATGGAAAAGTGTCGAGTTTGACGCTGGAAGATCTCAGCAGGTTCGACGATGATGTTGCGGGGGACAAGTCGGAAAAGGAGAGGGAAGAGGCTTTGGCTGCCAATTACTCCACCAAGCAAGCCATCCTGAGAAGCTTGAAGGATGTGGACAGCTCCCTGATCAAATCCCTCTTTGCTACCCGCAAGATGGCCATTTCCACCTCGATGATCATCGCCATTTGGGCGCTGCTCGGCCTGTCATTCCCGCTTTGTGAGGTGTTTAGCGCGCTGGCAGCACTCGTGCGAAGCCTCGGCTGACCCCCTGCTCCCTTTGCATTCCTGCAGACAATGCCTACGTGCCCTTCATCCAAGCATCTCGGGGCGCAGATTTTGGTGACGGCTCCACCTATCTCACCTATCGCAATTCGCTCATCATTGCCGTTGTGGGCATTCCAGGCTGCATCGCCGGCGCCTTGCTATCCGAGCTGCCGCGCATTGGTCGAAAGGGAACACTATTCCTATCCACCGCTGGCACAGGCGCTTTCCTATTCGCCAGCACGACAGCGACCAATTCCCCATCCTTGCTGGGATGGCAGTGCGCCTACTCCTTTTCCAGCTCGGCAATGTACGCCATCCTATATGCCTACACGCCAGAAGTCTTTCCTACTCGAGTCAGAGGTACGGGAAATGCGATCACAGCTTCGGCGAACCGCATCTTTGGCATCATGGCTCCCATCGTTGCCATGTTTGCCAATCTGGAAACTTCGGCGCCCGTCTATGTCAGCGGAGCTCTATTCATCGCTGCTGGCATCCTCGCTCTCGTCTTGCCCTTTGAATCCAGAGGCAAGGCCAGCTTGTAAAAAAATCAGCGCAGCGTTCGTGCCTGCCTGCCTGCCTGCTCTTGCGCTTGTTCATGTATAAATCCTCACCAAGGCTCAATTCACGTGATCCCATCGGCCTGACCCATCTAGAATCTAGACATTTGATTTGGAATCAAATGGCCTGCTCGCCCTCGACCCCGCATGATCTGAGTGAGAGCCACATCTTGGATCTTGCCTCTTGGTGAAGTGCCGTCCGCCTGCCGGTGCATGCTGACCGTGCACACTCTGACTGACGTAATCTCGAAACACCAATCCTTGCCCCCGCCGCTGCTGCATCTGGCTGGCTGGCTTTGGCTCGGCGAATTTCAATCGCACCTTTTGCTCTGCTGCAGCGCCTACAGTATCTCGAGCCACAAGTGTCAACATCTCCCTGCTGCGGTGCTCCTACCACTAGCGTGTTCCTGAAGCTGGACCCCGAAGTCTTGCATGAATCGGATGTTGAAAAAGGCTGACAAGTGGTTGCCGAGGTTGGAGCTTATGGGCGCACTGCAGGTGCCCGTCTCTCTTGCGCTGCATGCAGCAGGCGCACGCGGCAAGCCATGCACCCGCCTTCCATCACATAACGGCAGCAGGAGTGCGTGCGGCAGAGTCAAGTCCAGCGCAGCTCAGTGACGGTCATGAGTCATGAGTCACGCACGAGTCAGGCGTGCCGTGCAAATTGTGATTCGAAAAAGTCGCGAGTTGTCGGGAGGGGAGAGGGAGTGACATCATACATTTGACCGCTGCAAGCATGTCCGCGCCTCCAGAAGAGCTCACATCCGCTCGCACTTTCCCGCAAGCATACCATTCGTGATTGAGACGGCACCTTGAAAAGCCTGGAATAGTAAGTAGGCCGCGTTGTGAGGTTGGCAAATGCGGCCTGCAGCACATGTACATACAATGCATGGAAGGCGAGATTAATTGGATTGTCGATTGGGCGAGCGGAGTCGGTTTAGTGGGTCGCTCGAGGCAGCCTCGATGCCCTCTACTCTTTTCTTTTCCCTTGGCAGCACGGCACGGAGAAACAATCACGAATGCAAGCTTAGCGCGATTAGGCATGCGGGAATGGCCGTAAGGAGGAGGAGGAGCAGGAGGAGGACCATCGCTCTCGCAGCTTGGCGAGGTCTTGTATGCTCACGAAACACCCGACTTGCCCCCCTTTTTTTTGGTGGAAATTTGAAACCGTGGTGCTCGAGCGGCCTACAGAAGCGAGACCTAGTCTGCATGTGTGCGTCGGGAACGCATGTGATGCACTGATCGAGGCAATCGTGAATGGAGAGCATAGTCGATGAGGAGGCGAGTGGAATCGTGAATGGAAACAGTTGTGCGTGTCACCAAGTCCCGCTCGCTTCTTTTGGTTCTCTTCCTGTACCACCACCACCACCACCACCACCATCCGTCCATTTCTTCCTTCCTGCCTCCTCAAGACCGTGATCACCATGTCGGTGCTCAAAGAAAAGTTTTCGTCCGAGCAGGATGCTGCACCAGCTTCGACCGTTGATGCTGCACACGCTACGCGCTTCGCAGACGCCACGACGGGCGATGAGATCGCACCTACCGCTCGACCAGGCGGGATGCAATCGGGCATGAGCACACCCACCGGCACCGGAGGTTGGCGCAATCGACGCAAACATGTCGTGGGGCACGCCAGCAGTGCGGCGAGTGCGGCGCTGAGCAGAAAAGAACGCAAAGAGAGAAAGGCTCATAGACAGGCTCAGGAGCTCGAGAAGGGCTTGCCGGCTTTTTTGAGAGGAAAGGTAGCAGATGAGCAGGATTTGGAGAATCAACGAGATGAGAGACATGGTAGCAAGCGATTGGTCCGA